TACGTCGCCGTGGGTATACGCTCCGAGTGCTCACACTGCGTGGGCGGATCGCCAGCGTTTGTGTGCGCGACCACGGGTTAAATGTCGGTGGCGTCAGACGGTAACGTCGGTGAGGAGGAGGAGGAGAAGGAGGAGAAGGAGGAGAAGGAGGAGAAGGAGGAGATTCTGACGTGTTCCGCTGATTTCAGCCGCGCGCCCGACGACACCGAGTGTGCTCTCGTGGATGAAATCTGTTCGTGTTGTCGCTTTATTGAAATTTATTTCCAGCCTTTCGATGCGTTTCTTTCGTGTTAACATTATCAAGGGTTTTGCGCACCTCGCGCTCTCCCTATATTGTAGTATTAGCGACGAAAATGGCCGCCACTGTTCGACGAATTGCAATGCAATTGACCTTAATTTACCCCCGCAGCAGTAATTGTAACCATTTAAGTATAGCTTGTGTAGAAACCGAACCCTAAGTCTAAACTCTATTTAAGTGGGCATTGATTAGACGAACTACGAGTTTAGGGGGGAGAGTTGTAAATCGATAGCCCTGTATACTGTAATAACAAAATACACTTGAGCGAAATAAAGCCAAGGGGGTAATGTGCGCTTATTTAGGTCTATTATTATGGAAAGCAAAAAGAAAAAAATTATCATATTATATATGGATAAAGCATTAGTTAAATTGAAACGTGAAAATGAATGGAATAGTACATGTGTGCGTGCTTGCGTGCGTGTATTTATGCGTGCATGTGACAACATGACAACACGAGAAGAAAAAAAAGAAAAAATAAAGGAAACAGTGGAAGAGACGAGAGAAAGCGAGCCGAAAGATAGATACGAGTAGAGAAAGACAAAGAAGTAAAAGTAAAATGTTCGAATAATTAGAAGCTGCGCAACCGATAGCAAGTGAGGCAGTGCAGAAAGGGTTTCCTCTGTAACCGAACTAAACTGTCGTCTGTCACCCGTTAGTGGCTTGACTCCGTCCATAGCGACGACAGCCGACCGGAGCGCGCGCGCGTGGTTTTTATGCACGGAGTCAAGCCTTCACGTCGCCCGGCAATACGGAGTCGTCGGTTCAAGCAGCCGACATATCCGACGTCACGACGGCGCGGGCATTTCCATGATTGCGCTATTGAGAAAACATTTACCACACATTACATTACGCCGAAATAAATACAGTCATTACGCGCGAGGAAAGGGAAGTGAATTGCCGTATAATGGCTTATAATATCCCCGGGCAATTGCTGGTGTTTTCGGTACAATTACGCTGCGTAGGAGCACGGTGATCGCTAGCGAGCTATTGCTAGCCCTAATAACGACGCTAACAATACGTCTGCGTGTGCGCCGCGCCGCGAGATCAGACTCACTTACGGGCGCCGACGCAATTGAATTTATGAGACTCGCAATTACATAATCATTTCTAGTGATTCCGCGCAAATTGACGCCAGTTAATTTCGACGCTCAACGAGCGATTTTTAATAAAGCCCGGCGAATCAGCGCATTTTGTGTGAATTCAGAGGCCGAAATGATGGAGATTGTATTGCCGTTATTTGGCAGCAATAGAACGTAATGGACCAATTTAGGTACATTCAAGCAACGGCCGCCCCTTATTAAATATAATTACTGAACAGCGCCGCTTTGGTTCGTCGACATTGCTTTATTAGTATTTATTCAACTCGCTCAAAACCTGTATGCGTACGCTGCACGGATGAAATATGGCGGATTTGCGTTAATATTAATCTTGCAAGAGTGATTACACTGATTATGCATTCATCCCACATTGCAAGAGGCAATTTGGCTTACAAACTGAGGAGATGGGGGCAAAGTGGCATAGACGCGCACGGCACGTCTCGGCGATTCGAAGGTTACTTGCCGCGCGCGAGGCGTCAGCGCGCGTCTAGAAGTGACGCATTTTGGATGATTAGCGAGCTTGATATGTGGCTAATTACATGATTGGTTAGCCTTAACTCGTTTGACAAATCGCACTTAGACATTATGACTGTGGGTATGTGTACTTAATACGAGTCGTGCAGATGGCGGGGGAGGTAATGCGAGTTGCAGTAGCGTTTCGAAGCTCAGGGGGCCGTTTACGCGTCCACGCGTGCCACCCATGCGTAAGCGATATAATCAATCAAGTAGTGCGCTGCTCATGTGCCGAGGCAATAGCACCAAAACTTGAGAGAGAGAGAGAGAGAGAGAGAGAGAGAGAGAGAGAGAGAGAGAGAGAGAGAGAGAGGGTGTGTTTATATAGTAGTAGTATATATATATATATATATATACACACACACACACACACACACACACACACACACACACACACACACACACACACACGCATAACATGCAATCATGCCATCTTTATTATGTATCGTTTTATAAACTATATGCTGGATTTTTCTTTTCTTATTTAATTTTTTACGAATGTTGTGGGCATGTTTTTTTATTTACGTTGCAATGTTTAATTAAAAAAGCGATAACATACGACAAAGGTTATTCATCATCTGGTATGTGTTTTACTTGCAAATCCGGCTTAAGGGGAGTGGTATGAGTAGAAGGTATAAAGGGTATACAACGGCGCAAAGGCGAGATACTCTATTTGATTCATACGGGAGAACCCAGAGGAGAGAGCGCTGGATGCCTCGTCTGTAGACAGACTAGTGACACTACTCGAATTTAGGAAAATAATCTCAAAGAGACAGAGCTATTCGACATTGAACTCATCGCAACTATTCATTCTCACATCATATAGATAAATTTGTAAGGCTGGTATCTTTATATCATCGGCCACGTGTCAATGGCGAAGAGAGGAAAGATGAGTAAGGTGAGTGAGAGCAGAGGGGGCGGGGCGTTAAAAAAGAATAGGAGAGAAGGATGTTGGGGGCGGAGGAACTAAGACGCTTAGAGGGACTTAGCGAAATTGTGCCGTGTCCAGTTTTTTGTACGAAAGAATTTTAATGGATAGTAAATCGTTTCATCGTAGCAGAGTATTATGTGTGTGAGCGACCTTGCCATCTGATGCGGCAGATTCTCCTCGCGGCGCGATTTACATTGCAACGAGCTACTATAGTTATTATGTGCCCAAGGGCTAAGGTTGTCCTGCAAATAATACGACAAACATCTCCAAATCAATAAACGCCACACGAGTTGTCGTTTGAGGCGTTTTGAATAATTACAGATTCACTTTTATAATTTAACACACCCACGCACTCACGAGAGAGAGAGAGAGAGAGAGAGAGAGAGAGAGACAGAACGAGGGAGGGCGGGAGATCGAAAGAGAGAGCGCGCGAGGGAGAGAGAGCTATAAGGAGAAAGGAGTGGTCCTTTGGCGTATATCCGCACTTCGAACATTTTTCCGACCACCACCATTAGCAAAACATTTTTCCGATCAGTTTAGCCAAATCCTCCTGCATGCGACTTGCACGCCGCCCTGGAGATTTACCCAAAACAACTCGAACTGATCAGCTCTCGACAGATAAACATCAGCAGCATGAATAGTTCGAGAGCGCAGACGACCATGCGGCAGGTTAGCTTAATGGCGCTTAGTGCGTGGATGAGAGCGCGCTAACAGCGCTTTTACCTTTTACCGGCCCTTGCAAACATTTCTCGCGAGCTTTTCCATGCGAGACCAAAAGCCGTATCTCGGCCGCTCGTTTTGTATTCTAACGACGGCGCATAATGGAGGTACTCAGGCGGGCGCGCGTTTGACTGACAGCCGAGCGTCGGGCGAGTTTTTCTGGATTAGCCTTCCACCGGCAAACAAACGTTTTTTCGTCGCTTCCCGGCCGCTTAGGCTTCATTACGATGCGAGTAACAGGCCGGCATTGTGACAACTGCACAATTACGGCTAAGTAGATTAGCACAAAACTGTTTGTTTAGCGCAGATCGAATTTAAGCCGATTTTCTACAATTAATAAAGTTGACTAAAGCCGGATCGCATCTGTCGCGCAGATGTCGAAAATCCCTTCGCATCGATGAGACTATGATTTCCCATCCGCTGCTGCTGCTGCCGCTAGCATCTACGATCTCACACGGACCAGTCCTCTCTCCCCGCCCTACTCGCCCTGATCCCGACATATTTGCGAAGCGCACGGTAAGCAGATTAGCTAGCGAGGATGGACCACTTCGTTCGAATAAACCTCCACCGTGTCACATGTCAATCTATCTACGCGCATAGGCCACATGTACAGAAATAACTCAAAGCGATCGCAGGAAGGCTGGCGCTCCCTGGCTGCTTGCTTGTGCCGCATCCCCGCACGTGTGTGCATGCGAGCCTCGCGTCGCGCGATCGCTGAACGTGCGTGCGTGAGCATCCCCGGGACCACCGTATCGATTTTCCGAGTTAAGTACAGCTTATATACAAAGCGATTTACAGCCGACTATTATGATGGCAATGACTAAATACGAGTTTAATATAATTTCGTGCGATCGTCGGCATCGGTTCGGCATGTGCCGTGACGTCACGGATGTTGCGACGTGACGTGGCGAGAATTTCCCACAACTGCGTGAACTTATCGCGACCTAAATTACTTGTGGAGTCTTCTATGATTGCGAAATTGCGTGTGAAAATCCGTGGTTCACCGATGCATTAACCATAAAACGATATATATATATATATATATATATATATATATATATATATATATATATATAATATATATATATATATACGCACACACGCACGTACAGACACATACATACGAGCGCCCGTCTAACTACAGAAAAGTCGTAGGTGCGCAAACTTTAAGGCGATCTCATGAAGGGGGATTATAAAGCAATATTCGGTATGCGGTTCCCTCGAGTGGCTGAGTCATCTAGTTTAAATGTTTGCTCTGATATTTAATACAAACCCCCACACGTAAAATTGCCAACCGTTTATGTGGACGTGCCTAATCCCATAATGGTGGGAAAATGAAAATTGCAACTAATTGCAGGACAATTAACTAGAGGATAAACATGATGAACAATTACTGTCGAGAAGTTACAATAACATATTTTGCACGTTTGTCTGCTTGCAGGTCTGGTTTCAAAATCGGAGAGCAAAGTGGAGAAAACGGGAGAAAGCGATGGGACGAGAGAGCCCCAACTTCTTACACAGCGATATCCCGCCGCTAGGGGACATGACGGTTCGACTTCCGGGACCCTACGGACTTCCGCCTGGCATGGAGCACATGTGGGCGCCTGCGTACCATGGCTTCACCAACTTGACGGGCATGAGTCCGATGCTGGCACTCAACCAGGGCATGACTCCGCTAGCGGCAGCCGCCTACTTCCCGGGCAAGTCTCCTCTTGGAAACCTCATCTCTAGTTACATGATCAACAGCGCCGCCGCCGCCAGCCTCTCTGGTAGTCTGCCGACGCCGACGACGATGGCGCCACCGCACGGACTAGCCGCCATGCCTGTTCCGACCTCGCGCGCTGCTCTCGGTCACGATTCGGACAAACTCGAGATTAGACGATCGAGCATCGATACGTTACGACTGAAGGCGAAGGAGCATTCGGCGACGCTGGAGCAGCAGGGCCTGTCCAAGTCGCAGCACTCGGAGACGGCCAAGTCGTAATTCACCACGCTGCATATGAGCTCGCTCGTACGACGCACTGCTGCGCTCGCAGCAAATATTATGTCGTGTATAGAGATATAAATTAGTGAATGGGATTGATTTTATAAACGTCGACTGTACTACTCGTGATAATATACGCTGATAAGTAGGGAGAGCCCGCGGTCAGTTATATAGACGCGCTTCCTGGAGACGATGACAAGCAATTAGTAGTCGACGCACAGCGCAGCGAGAGCAATCTGCATACTGAAGAGGTTTTGAAAGGTTCGAGTCGTGTCGGCTGTCCTGCGTGCTATGATAACCGCGGTTTCTTCCCGCAGAGGCACAAACCATATCGCGTGGCAACTGCAGCGATGCACGCGTACAACCCCGCAGCGCTGTAGCCCAGCGCCTTCCTCTTCAAACATGGTCGTGCATAACAACGGCAGTTTTGTTTATTGCGACAGCAGATGGGAGTTTGCGTCGCGGCGAGCAGTCGATAGTTAACTTGTGTTGTTGTAATGTGTTTTGTCTTTGTTACAACGATTCGCTTTTTGTTCGTAGTGAAAATCGCGCGCCCAGAAGGGTCTAGACGTCCACGCTGAAACGTAGCGAGATGAGCACGTGTAAACTATAGAGACTCTGGGATGATCTCCATTTGTTACTAAGTAGGTTCTGATTCGGTCGCCCCGGTGATGTCGTGGTGAGCGTCGGTGTGACCGTCACACTACTACGACAGACGTGACAGGCAGCGGCGCATGCGCAGATGACGTGAAGGCGTGTAGCATGGCCACGGAGCTTTTTACTGGGATTAATGATAGTCGAAACTATGGGATGATTAAACCGACATTAAAAAAAAACCAGAGACACCATCGGGTATTTTATTGGCACAGCCAATATTTACACTGTTCACGCTGGGTGCCCTGCAAACTCAACGGACTTCAAATAGCCTATACGATTTTGGCAGGCGCGTTTAAAAACTCGGACATACCTCGACAAAAGCCATGATTGTTCGGCGAAGGTCGCAGCGAAATGGGTCTATAGGCGACACAGGGCAAAAAAATTATAGTGTATATACAGCGGATGAGACATTGCCGTGTCGCGTCGAATCACTGATAGCACGCGTTCGATTATAAATGAAACCTATCTATATATATATATATATATATATATCACACACACACACACACACACACACACACACACACTGTGTATGGACAATCAGCCATGTATGGACACTTGAATAATATTCGAAGCATCCAATTGCAACTCACCTGATGTTTTGCTACAATTGTTTTGATTGTTGGCAGTCGTTTCATGAAGTGTTGTATCGCTCTACTCTGTGCCCGTGTTGGACTTTCCTATTGTATCGCCCTTAAACCTGCTGTCGATTTCTATCGTATAGTGTTGCATCGTGTCGTTCAGTATCGCTTCGTGCCTTGTCGCGCCATACCTTGCCGTGCACAGACGGATTGCATAACTGATCCAACCTGACAGAATAATACAATAATGGCGCTCGAATCTCCCGTACTGATATTTCGCTGTGACTCGCTCTGTGTTGCGCGCCCCAAACATCGACCATATTGGAGTAAAACTGGTTCTCCGCCTCAATCACAGTTATCAGCGTCGAGTGGCACTTGAATTGATACCAGAATTGGGAGAATATAACTGGCGTTCTGCGTGATTACCTGACATATCGGCAACTTACTGCGTCACGAAAATTATTTTGATTAGCTCACGAGTGCCTGTTATTCTGCAAATATTATGCTAGAAATTATAGCGCATGTAGAGGATATCTGTGGCAAAAGATTACGCTCAATTGGTACAGTTTAGAGCAAAATTACCGAGACGTTTGCAGGTTTCTATAGAAATTACCTGGGAATTACAAACACGTATGAGCAGAAGGCTAAATAATAGAGAAACGATTTCGTATACCGTTATATTTCACCGAACAAAGCATCCTGGGAAAGAGTACATCTGGTCGCGCCCACCCCTCCTCCCATCCTCCCACAACACGCACGCGTAGAATATGTGGGGAGTATTTTCATTCTTACCCGCTTTAGCTATCTTTGTCTCCCTCTCTCGTCGCCTCACATCCCTTTTTTCATTATCTATCTTCGCTGGCACCCGGTTACGCCAATGTGGTTTTCGATGTTGTTAACATAATTGTGAGAAATGGGTCGATTTGTAGAACTTGGTAATTTTCTTGTCCGGTCAAAAATTTGGAAATTAACACCAATTTGCCTCAAACAGTGTAAACAGGAAAAAGCATTTATATTTTAATTAAGTTGTAATGAAATCGTTTCGGATTCAATTAATTGAATTTCATCTCGTTTAACTGCTTTAACGGCGTGTCTTAATTAAATCATTATGCACGTGCATGATATAATGAGAGCGAACTAATCCCCACCGTATCATTACTACCTAGTCGACCGTTATAACTCACTGCAAATTTTATGTGAAGAGTTTAATATACCAATGATATCCCATAAGCCCATAGCGTGAAATGCTCTTCCTGATTCTATTTCTACGCTACCGACCGCTTTACCTAGGGACCGACTTGCTGTATACATACATAAATAAATAAATATATATATATAATTTTGTTGGATCTGCCGCGGTTAAGGAGACAGGAAGGAGAAGAAAGGATAGCAAAGACCCGCATCCATCGCGGAGTGAATTACTTGCCGTGTATGCCCACCAATTTACTCAAGGCATTTATGTTATTCATGCATTTAATGGAAGCACGGCAGCAACGCCGAGAGCTGACGACGCGCCGTTGTTACAGCGCACCTCAACCCGCGACCGCGTCTTACCCGTCTGTGTTTTCACAGCTCCAAGTTGAAAAGCGCTTGCATGACCGGCCCGTCGCAAAGTACACAAGCGATTTCCGATTCGCTTATGTATTTGCGTGCGGAAACTGTCACCGCAGCCGCCGCACGAAAAGTTATTTCATAATTAAATCGCTATTTAGTGCGACGACGGGTGTGCGCTGCGGCTTACCGTCGTGATTAAAGTGTAAATAATTACGCGTATCAATTTAATCGCTTTCAAAACATGCGTGTGATCTTGTTACGCATACGGGACCGGACGGTAAGATGAAGCGACGTCTTAACCGTCACCCGTACGGATTACACACAGCACTCGTTTCGTTGCGCGAATCTCTAACAAAGCAAACTCGCCTATTCGCAAGGTCTTCCAATTATCATGATTGCTCGCTTCGCGTGTTAAACACAAAATTGTACTCTTTTTTTAAATTCCCCCGCCGAAGCAATTATTTTATCATCGGTAAGGGCCCGCCCGATATGACAATGGCGTGGCTCGGCACACAGGCTGGCAACCTTCAGTTCGCTAAATCATCATTTCAAACCACATCTATATTACGCTTTATAAATGGCCCGTGTTCTATTTGTGTCTACTTACGCAGATGTTGCTCGTAATTAATGTTTGCAATTATCACAATAGACGGTGACATCGCTATACGACCCGCGATACATGCTATAACTACACCATACGCCAGAACGTTCGTATGCGACGGCAGCACGCACAATAGTGACGTGTTTTCCCCATTATTATCCAATGCGATGCACATGTCTGTATAAGCGTCATCGTCATATCAAATATGTTATCATTATAGACGAGATAAAAGCGAGATGCAACAATGAAACCTGTGTCACTACGTGTGTGTTTTCATTCTTACGTGAAAGTGTATTGAGATTGAATAAAGAGTTGATTAAAGCAGTTGCGATCCCCTCACAATATATATATATA